ACTCTCTCAGCCTGTCCTCATAGGAGAGGTGCTCCAGCCCTCCGATCAGCTTTGTGGCTGTCCTCTGGTCTCGCATCAACAGCTCTGTGGTTTTCTTGTACTGGGGACCCCCAGAGCTTGACGCAGTACTCCAGGTGTGGTCTCACCAGAGTAGAGGGGCAGGATCACCTCCCTCGACCTGCTGGTCATGCCTCTCTTGATGCAGCCCAGGACACGGTTGGCTTTCTGGGCTGTGAGCGCACATTGTTGGCTCACGTCCAGTTTTTCATCCACCAACACCTCTAAGTCCTTTTCTGCAGGGCTTAATCTGCTCTCAATCCCTTCATCCCCCAGCCTGTATTGATAGGAGGGATTGCTGTGACCCATGTGCAGGATCTTGCATTTGGGCTTGTTAAAAAATAATATATCAGGTGCTTCAGAAAGTGGAATTGTTGAAAACATTGCTGTGTAGATACTAAAAATAATTTGCATTTACAATCAGATCAGTTGTTTAAGTGACTAATAATTTTATCAGCTCTTTTGAATGCTTGCCATTTGTAGGCACTTTATAGACTTCAGTAATCAATCTGTATATTGGTTGGGTGCTTGAGACAGTCTCCTAGATCTAGTGGAGGGGGGGAATAGAACAGCCGCCTCCTCTACTCCACCCATGGGAAATTACTCTCAGCGTAATACATAGAAGAATACGTTTCAAAATCAGACTCCAGTCAATGTGTCAGATTTTTTCCTGAAATGGATGATTAATTTTCATAGTGAATGTGACTCTTGGATTGGTTCCTGTCCTTTCTTAGAAAGGAAGATGAAGGAACCGGGCAATACCAAAAGAGAAAAGTTAGATGCTTCTCAGCATATGATTGTTAATTCTGTATTTACTTTGTGTGAGATATGCTTAAGTGAGATGTAAGTAATTCGTTGAATGAGTATGTTTAATACAAAACAAATAGTCTCTTTTCCTCAGTTATATACTGGATAAGGTCAAGCCCCAAGAGGGAAAAAGGCACATAAAATTAAAAATGTGTCTCAATGCAGATACATAAGTGGACTTAATTAAGGTTGCTTAGGCAATATTAATTTAGTAATTCTGAATTTTCAATCTGCAAGTTACTTTTTATGTTTAGTAGCACTGGAAAAAGAAATGCTGTGTCTTAGACACTAGTATTTAAACCTATTTCATGGTTTGGAATCTTATCTTAAATATTATCTGGATCTGACAAAACCAGATATGGATTCATTTAAGGATAAGGACAGCCACATTTCGTCAGAGTTGGACAGCAGATTGGGTACATGCAAATGTGAAATACCGAAGAAGTATGGGCATCCGAAAGCTGAGTTAAAGGGATGTTGACTGATATTAAAGGACATTAAACATTGATGATGAGCAGTCCAAACTCCCTTTTCCCTTTTACTCTGTTTGACTAATATGTAACAGGGTAATGCCACAACTAAATTCAACAGGATTCAAAAATAACTTTCATGTTTCTGAGGTGATCAATGCAGTAATATTTTTATATATAAGACCGCCGAACAGTTATTCTACTGATTACAAAGGGGTTGAGATTTTTACACTTTGGGGTATGACCCACTTATTAAAGGAAGTTATTCTATACAAAATATATTGTATAAGACTTCATAGATTTTAATTAATTTTTTATTTTATTTGCTTCAAGAAGTAGTAGAGTTTGATACTTGTTAATGTATTTATATAGGCTACTAATTTTAGTTCTCTCCTCTGCTGTGATATTTGTAAGACTCTATGCCCTTATAATGAGGACTTTAAATTTAATCTTTTGTTGTGGTAGGATCAAGTATTTGTAGAATTAGAGCTTTTAATATTTTTGAAGTTGACATGGTTTTTTGTGACTGTTTTTAAGATGAAAAGCAAAAGTCGTTCTGATTTATCAGAACTCAAAGTAGGACAAAGCACTATTGAAGATATAATGTCAAGAGCTTATGACAGTTTTGATATCCAGCTCAGCAGTATACAGTTACTGTACAGCAAGCATGGTAAGTATTCATGAAAGTAATCTTTATATGAGTAAAAATATTTTGGCGGTTGGTACGCTTTTTGTGGTTTTAACTGAAGCAATGGAGAATCTTTGGAACATACTTCTTTAAACTCATGTTCTAAACTCAGTCCTATGAACATGTTACGAATTTCTAAAGTATACCTTTAGGCCTTAGATTCCAACCTTAGTTTTTGCTAAATAAACTTAGAAATAATTCCTTATTTTTGAATATGTCTTAATTTATTGCATAATAAATATGAGTGTAATTTATTTATGGTGTTTTCCTTCAGTGCCTTTTCCTTGCTTCCCTCCAAATTTAAAGTAGAATCCACCTATAGTTGTAGGCTTGATGATTTTGTGAGGGTAAAGAAAGGATCAGAATCCCTTATTGAAGGAAACTTAAAAGTTTGGGAACTAACAATAGAGAAAGAGTCAGAACCAGAGCAGTCTTAAGCATTTATTTCTTAACCCTCTGCTTCCAGAGGGGAATACAGAGCCTAAACTCCCAGTACCATCCATGTTAAGAACTGTTAAGAACATGTTAAGAACTCCGCAGCATGGGTTGGGTAGGTGTTTAGATGTGAACAGTAGAAATTATTAAGTAGTCTTCTATGTCTGAAGTTCAGATCTTGTATAATATATGTATATTGATAGACCTGTAAAAGAGATCGCGTTACCTGAATTTTAGCAATATATGTACTAATTAATATCAGATACTTCTGTGATATATGTAATGATGTTTCAATGTTTAAAGTGTAGGTTTTCTTTGCTCTTCTAGATGAGAACTGGCAAGAAGCTCGGAAGCTGAAATACTCATCTCAACATATCTTGCAGCCCTTGGATGTAAAGGTGGAATTTAGCAGGGCTATGGTTGTTACAGATGCAAGAATGCCCAAGTATGTGGTTTCTTCCTATTTTGAAATTTTATGGAAAATGACTTTTTTTTAGGGGAAATAAAATCAAGGATCTAATTGTACTTGCGCTATTTTACATCAGCCATGTGTGAATCCTGGAAAAAAATACCTTCATCAAGAAAAATAGACAATAAACTCAAGAAGTTTCCAGATACTGATGAGGTGATAGAATGTTAGTGTTATAAAATAAGTATGTATGATACATTTCAAGATTTTTATTAATGATATTAATACCTGTTCTAATTAGGTCTTTCTAATAGCTACATTTCAGTTCTTGTTGAAAATTCTGAGGAGCAAAAAATCTGAACTTAGAAAAATCTCTTTTATAAATGTCACAAAAGCATTCTGAAAAGTAATGTACTGTCATACTCCCTGTCTTTCACTGAGGTTATTCATCTTGTTACTTACTAGATGTCACTTCTCAGGGAAACAGCTCTTAATACATTGAGTTTGCACTTAGGCCTATTTAGCAAAAAAACTATTGGTTATGGAAATTCTACTCAATCAGAAGATAATGTATGTTAGTGTTAATAATGAAACATTGATGCTAGAGATCACTAAGTGAAATGGCAAAAATTAACTTTGCATATATTTTGGAAAGCATATCTCCAATAATGTCTGATAAGGACACTACTACCTAAAAAAATCTGATCAGTTTTGAAGTACTTGCAGTTTAGCACATTAATGCATTAGAAGATAATTTGATTTATTAAGTTGTTAATAAGAATCATATTCTTCTGCTATGACAAGCTAGCATATGCTTATTTCATTCTTAACACTGTTGGAAATTCAGATTTTAGCTAGGCGCTTTAGAAAATTAATGGCATAAAAATAGACCTAGACTGTTGTAGGAAATTGTTTAACACAATCAGCACAATCAAGAGGCTGCTTCTGAAATAAAAATTACAAATAATCTAGGATTTGCTTAGAGAGAAAGAAACCTTAAAATTAGTGTATCTTACCAGTGTTGTGTATTGTGAACACAGATCAATGATTGCACGGTGTAATGGTGCCACCTTCTGGAAAGCTAGGAGGTCAGATTCTGAATTTTGATGCTTTACAAAACATCTTATTCTTTCCCTCCTTACTTTTTCTCTGTTTGATGGAGAAGATGAGATAAGGGAAATACAACTCACAGGAATCTGTCTTTTTATGTCAGAAAGTCCAGGGAGGGAAAATGAGATTTAATTTCTGTGGTCATATAACAGAATGTCGTTTTAATGTAGTTTTGTAATCAACGTGTCTCCAAGTTATGCTAGTATAACGTGGATAAAGGAGTGTCTGCTCTTAATGACAATACCCGTTGTGATGTTGTAGTACTACCTGTCTGTCTTGACTACCAAGTGTGCTTCTCCTTTTGGCAGTTTATGTGTCTACACTGATTCTGGGAAATTCTTCCCTAAAGGATATTATTTCTGTGTTCTGAATTCTCATATAGTTACTTACTTGACAGTAAATAGTTTCTGCTAGTGTCCAGAAATCAGCAAATTTTTCTTCCACTGAGATAGTAATATTTCTTGGAGATCAGCTGCTGCTTCTTTCTGAGTGCCTGCACTGTCTACAACTGTAATGAATGACACAGACAGCAGTTTGGTATTACATAAGTGTACACCACAGTGAGTTACTAATCATAACTAATACTTTAACCTGCGCCAAGAGCAAGTAACCATTTTGAATCTAGCATGTTGATACCGTAACTCAACAACAGCTGAATTTGTTAATTTTGTGTTTGGTTCAGTCTCCAAATGCTTCCAGGATGTATTCTGCAGATGATATTATAATACTGTAGAGTCATCTACTAGTCTTGAAATGACTGGTACAGCAGCTTTTTACCTGATGTTGGAACTTTGACTTTTCTTTAAGGGCTTGCTGCTTTTCATTCTTGCTTTGAGCTCTTTAATGAAGTCTGAAAATCATGAACTTCTGTATCGTATACATCTGGTTAGGGTGGTATTGTGATTTATTACATGTATTTAAATTAAATATACAAAGAAGAGGGAACAATTTCTCATTGTAAGGAAAACATGCTTTAGCGAAATCAGAAATAATTATTAGTAGAATTTGCAGTCCTGATCCACAAGACATTGTATCAAATGGAAATATAAATTACATTAATAACTGGGTATTTGCTGGTTAACTAACTCTTGTATGTGCAACAGAAATTACATACATATATATACATATATGTATTGTGTGTTTTTCAGAAGAAAATTAATGTAAATTTTGAATGAAATAGTTTTAAGATAACTTTGATTGTTTACAGGTTCAAACTGTCTGGTCAGCTGCCTTTACTTTCTATCCAAATATCAGACCAGAAGCTGACAAGTATCTTGGAGCTAATTGATAGCATTCCTAAGCCTGAAAGTGCTCCTGCTACCAGTTCTCCTCCAAAAATAACTGAGGTAAGTTTTTTCAAAAATATTTCATTAATAATTTTCAGAAAAATACCTTCTTGCTATTAGCATTGCAGTTTTGAAAGGAGCGCTGGAAAGTGGCGAGCAAGCATTTACTTAGTACCTCTTGAAAAACTTAGCTAATTCTCTAAAGCTACAGACATTTTGCTTGTTATTTAGTTAGTTTATTATGATCTTTAGCCAATAATTATGGAATAGTTGTCCAGAGGTTGAATAAAAAGACCCCAAACTTTTACTACTTTGGGAATTACTTTCTAGTTCATATTAATCTTGATTAACAAACATACTTGCTTTTGTTGAGGATTAGTTTAATTGTACCTTCAAATTTGCACATGTATCAGAGTGCTGCAGGGTTCGGGTTCAGCTATTTTGTTTAGCAAAGAAAAGGTTGAAAGCTTGGCATTTTTAAAGTTGAAGTATTATGTGGATCTTAGACAGGAGTTTAACTTTCAAAACCAAAAATTATCCATTTTCTGTGTCTAATGTTGGCTAAACAGTGCCTGCCTGGCAAAAGTGGCAGCTTCATTTCAGCTGACTTCACTGCTCTTCCCAGCTTTTCTTTATTCAGTTATACAACATAACTGAGTGGGCGGCAGTTCTGCCTCGTATTTCTAAGGTTTAGGAGCATGGAGTGAGTTCTCTCCCTGCTTCCTCACCCCCTTTCCTTAGTGAAAATGGTTCAGGTCAGTGTTTTATGCTTTCTGAATTACTATTCCTGAAAAGTATGTTTTACTTTTTGATATGAAGTGTTTTTAACAAAAATAGAAAATGCAATTTGAATTGCTGATTTTTAACATCACTCTAGTCTCTGTGATCTGGCTATGATTTATATATCTTTAAAGCAGTTCTATCATTTGAACATATGTGAAATCTCAAGGTGAAAGACAAAACTGGGCTATCCATTTTTCTGTCATTTGTAAATACTTCTAATTATCTATTATTTAATCTTTTGTGTACTTGATTCTAAAAGAATAATGGTCATCTTTGTGGCTTGTGGGTTGTTTTTTTTTTTTTAAGATTACTTTATAATTATCTTTCCATCTTTATACAAATTATTCTGCCCTGTTCCTGATGGCTGTTTTTGCAGTTTTGGTGGTGTTTTCTGTAGGTTATGTTAGCAAAAAATATTCAATAACTGTAACCGCACAGAACTAGCCATGCATACCTGTTGAAAGTATATATAGAGTGAAGATGATTGTCCTTCAACATGTATTTCCTGCCATCTCTTCAGTGGTGGTGTTAAAATCCTAGCTAGTTCTGACCTGCTCTTTCACTCTTGATATGGTATCCCCAGCCAAAAGCTGCCCCAGTCTCTGGTTTGTTCCACTAATCACAAACTTTTTTCAAGGGTAAGTGATGGGATTTTAATTTAACACAAATGTGCACATATAAGATGATTATCCTCTACTTTATAACATTGCCTATACTTGAATTTAATTACAGAATTCAACTATTACATTTAAAATATTTAAAGTTACTTTCATGTGCTTAGTGTTACCTGTACATTACCTGTGAAGTACAAGATGAGGTGAGAAAAGACTGTTGAGCCAGTGTAAATGTATTTGCATTATCTTCACAGATTCACAGATTGGTAGGGGTTGGAAGGGACCTCTGGAGGTCATCTAGTCCAACCCCCCTGATAAAGCAGGATCACATACAGCAGGTAGCAAAGAATCGTGTCCAGGCAGGTTTTGAATATCTCCAGAGAAGGAGACTCCACAACCTCTCTGGGCAGCCTCTTCCAGTGCTTGGTCACCCTCAAAGTGAAGAAGTTTTTCCTCATTTTCAGACGGACCTTCCTGTGTTCCAGTTTGTGCCCATTGCCCCTTGTCCTGTCACTGGGCACCACTGAGAAGAGTCTGGCACCTTCCTCTAGACATCCACCCTTTAGATATTTATAAGCATTGATGAGATCCCCTCTCAGTCTTCTCTTCTCCAGACTAAACAGGCCCAGCTCTCTCAGCCTTTCCTCATACAGCAGATGCTCCAGTCCCCTCATCATCTCTGTTGCCCTCTGCTGGACTCTCTCCAGGAGTTCCCTGTCTTTCTGGACCTGGGGAGCCCAGAACTGGGCACAATATTCCAGATGTGGCCTCTCCAGGGCAGAGTAGAGAGGGAGAAGCTATCTTCCCTCGACCTGCTGGCCACACACTTCTTAATGCACTCCAGGATACCATTGGCCTTCTTGGCCACAAGGGCACATTGCTGGCTCATGGGGAGCTCGTTGTCCACCAGGACTCCCTGGTCCTTTCTCTGCAGTGCTGCTTCCCAGCAGGTCAACCCCTAACCTGTACGGGTGCCTGGAGTTATTCCTCACTAGGTGCAGGACCCTACACTTGCCCTTACTGAATTTCATATGGTTCCTCTCTGCCCAGCTCTCCAGCTTGTCCAGGTCTCGCGGAATGGGAGCACAGCCTTCTGGTGTGTGGGCCACTCCTCCCAGCTTAGCACCATCAGCGATTTGCTGAGGGTACACTCTGTCCCCTCAACCAGGTCATTGATGAATATGTTGTAATAGGACCAGACCAAGCACTGACCCTTGGGGCACACCACTAGATATGCTGCATCCATATTAAAACCTATGATTAAACCTATCTGCTCAAGCTTCCATCTACTGCAGAGCTTGACAGACTAACTGCTGGTATTAAATTCAGTGAATTTGAGTGGATTTGCTGCTTTGGTGGTGGCAGATATACTCGCATGCTTTCATCCTTGTAGCTGAAATTCTTCTGAGCTTTGTTGCCATCACATCAGTTCAGAACTGAAAAGGATGTGAAATCCTTTCTCAGAGCTTTGCATGTGAACTTTGTTCTTTACATTGTGAGTTTTTGGAGGAATTGTTTTGGGGCTGCAAAACCAGAAGACTCTTCAGAACAGATCCTTGTAGGGTTTTGCACCCAGCACCTTTTTCTTGTACTTAAGTACAAGGTGACTGTCCACTTTGGTGTGGAAGACTTTATTTCTCCTGATTTCATACTGTGAAGTCAAGTTTCACAGTTTCTTCTCCTTGTCTTCTTACAGTGCGAAACTGTTACAGATGGCACACTTTCACAGTTACAAGACTCTTGGAGACTTGGTGTATCTATCACTCATAGACGTGGATATATTCTGTAAAGTCAAATTATGTAGGCTGGAAACTGAGAAGAGAGACTGTTGAAATGTGAAGAGTGAGATGAAAAATGGAGCCTTGGAATGTTTCTTTGTTGCCATAATACTTAGATTTCTGTAAGATACTGTGAGTTACTGAATTATTGCATGAAACTGGGCTTTGAAAGTAGCAGTAACAGGGGAAGAAAAAAACCTAACACTACTGTCATTTGTGCAGTCTAGAGCCAAAGGCAATCAAAAAGGGGCACACAGACAATGCACACAACTCTCCTTATTTTAATACTCTTTATAAGGTACATGTATACTAAATATGCACGTGGAACATGCAGATGAGAATTCTTTACAGATTCAAACCACTGAGAATACTTTCTGAGGCTTGATGGGAAATCTGGCCTTGGTGATGTCATGGTTTTGCCCCAGCCAGCAGCTGAGCACCATGCAGCTGCTCGCTTACTCCCTCCCATTGGGATGGGGAGAGAATCAGAAGGGTAAAATTGAGAAAACTCGTGGGTGGAGATAAAGACAGTTTAACAAGTAAAGCAAAAGCCATGTGTGCAAGCAAAGCAAACCAAGGAATTTCTTCACCAAAAGGGTTGTCAGGCATTGGAACAGGCTGCCCAGGAAAGTGGTGGAGTCACCATCCCTGGAGGTATTGAAAAGACGTGTGGATGTGGTGCTTAGGAACATGGTTTAGTGGTGGACTTCGCAGTGCTAGGTTAACGGTTGGACTCGATGATCTTAAGGGTCTTTTCCAACCTAAATGATTCTATGAAGTTTAGAAACAATTCTGTCTGCTTTAATGTTTTCTCTAGTTCTTTCTTCTTTTTCCCCACCTGCCACTAGTATCAAGTGATTTTTATAAAGAACAGTTGATCTTTTACTGCTTTCTGAAGTTGCCATACTGTAGTCCTGTGAGGGACTGGGCTTTGTCTTCCCTGAGTTTTCATATGATGTGCTATTTCTGTCCATCTTTCGATCTGTGAAGTTGGATGTTTGAACCTTATCGCTGTGTTTCCTCATGTATTCTCTTGGTAGCTAGATGACTGTGCAGTACCTGCTGCTTCTACCTGATTTAAGCCTCATTTCTCCCCATCCTTTTAATGTTAGTAATGTAAGTGTTTGACTGTAATGATTTTCACTTAAAATAAGACCAATTTCATGCAGCATATGTGCATGCAATAGCATGACTAATGAATTCAAGCAAAAGATTTTACGGTATCTCTTGTTTCAGGCTGCAATATCCCCTGTGCTCTCAGCACCACATTTATCACAAGGTGTGTTTCCTGTTTTGGATCTTCATTCATTTGCTGAGTCAGGTAATGTGATCTTTTTTAAAGTCTGATTTAATAAACATGGCAAGTCAAGCTTTTGAGTTCATTGAATTAACTTATTTCTCTTGGAGTAAGCAACCATTTGTGGCTTCGTTTCAAGTTCTTGAAGGTTGAGTAGTGTTATATTCTGTACAGGTTATTATAATTCAGTCTGTACAAAATATTTGTGTATTTTCTCATAGCAGTAAAATGTTTGGTGGGATGGGTTTGTTTATTTTTGCCTTTGCATATGTTGTTACAAATCTTTATACAGAACATCTGAAGTAGTATGTATGTAATTTTGTGCTTCAGTATGTACTTAGTCCTCTGATGATGGTTTTAATTATTTTCTTCTGGTGAAGGATTTCTCTCCTCCTTTGCTAGAGTTATTTAAATTACAAAATACTGAAACAATGACTGTTAGAAACTACTGTGTTGTTACAAACAAAGATCATTTCAGCTTCTACAGAATCAAACAGATTGGCTGTGGAGAAACTGGTCATGTTTAATACTGGCTTGCTGTTCACACAGCGCAGTTAGATTGTAACATTCCATCTAGCAGCTACATTTGAAAAATAGTCAAATATATCAATCACCTTTGTCATGCCAAAACACTTAAGTGGAGAAATAGTGAACAATCTTTTTCTCCTCTCTCAAGTTAATGATGTATGTGGTTTGCAAACACTAGCAAAGTTGTCAGCAAAGTTAATGTTTACATCTACTTTATCACTTTAAATTCAGTGTGTACAGTAGTACAGTATTTATAAAAATATGTATTTGTGCATCTTCGTCTATTTTTTGAATGAGTTTCTTTAGGTGTCCAAAGGTAGAAAGTATCTTTCAAATCTGAAAAAATTAGGGTGATGTGAGAGCGAACACTGGCAACAATTAATTTGAAAAGTAATAACTAGAGTTAGAATTATAGAGTGTTTTGGGTGGGAAGGGACCTTAAAGACCATCTAGTTCCAACCCCCCTGCTGCGCGCAGACCGCTCTCCACTAGACCACACTGCCCAAAGCCCCATCCAACCTGGCCTTGAACACTTCCAGGGAGGGGGCATCCAAAGCTTCTCTGGGCAACCTGTTCCAGTATCTCACCACCCTCACAGTGAAGAATTGCTTCCTAATAGCTAATCTAAATCTACTCTCTTTTAGCTTAAAGCCATTACCCCTTGTCCTGTCACTACACTCCCTGATAAACAGTCCCTCTCCAGCTTCCTGTAGGCCCCTTCAGGTACTGGAAGGCTGCAGTAAGGTCTCCCTGGAGCCTTCTCTTCTCCAGTAGTGCCACTAATAGTGAAGCAAAAGCTTGTGTACGGTCAGCAGCCATCAGACTAGCAGAAGAGTTATTAAATTATTAGTACACACCAAAGGCAAGATGAGACATGGTTTGTTCTGTCTTTTGTACAGCTGATAGTGAGAGAATGCTGACAAAGGAGTTAACTGACGAGAACTGATTTATTATGATGTGATAGAGGGAGCTGTAGGTGTGAAAAGCTGTGGAGGCAGGAATGGAGATAATTATAGAAACAGTCTTTGGTTGCTAATTATCAGCTAAGTAATCTTCCCATACCTGTACATTTAAGTTTTCATAGATGTAGACATAAAAATTCTAGGTCATATTACTGCAAAATACTGGCTTTCTAAAATATATATATATAATGTTGTGAATTAATCCTTAGAGTCAGAAGAAGAATTTTATGATGCCCTAAGCAGTCCTGTGGAAGACATGCCATTTTTTGAAGCTCCATCTGGTTCCCTCAAGCGAGCTACCAGTACCAGGCGAAAAAAACTACATAAACAAGAGTCTTTGAAAAATATGACAGAATTCCAGCTAACATTTGAAGTAGCTGAGGTAAAGTTACTTTTTTTTTTAATTTCTCTGAAGCGCATGTATTTTTTTCCCTGTTGTGTTTGCGAATTCATGTCTGCAGAAGTATTGGTTCCCTATTTCTTGATGAAACTATTCTGTAGAGTTTTTTTCCAAGTCACAGTTGTGCTTCTGCATCCTTGTCATTACTGAAATGCTTTGATTTATCCACTTTATTTCCCAACTCATTTTATCACCGAATATCTTTTACCTAACCATCACTTGAAAATCACATTATATATTTGTTTTGGGTTAAGATGTAGTTTTTGACATCTTTTTTCCAGATACTGGTGTGGTCAATGGGAAAACTTCATTAATGCTTAATCTTGTAACAAGCACCCTATTTTTCCACTCCAGTTTTTCCCAGACTCTGTTGGCCTCACACCTCTATCTGTAACATGTGCACTCTGAGGTGGTTTATGCTTTGTTCTTGCTGTTTCAGACTTAGGGGGGTAAAAAAAAAAAGAAAAAAAAAGAGTATTGTACCCAAATGCAAGACACTGTTTCTATCTGCATCAGTTGGTCTAGTAAAAGAAATGGCCTCTTACCACTATTGTTACCTTTATCATTAGACCTTCATGGCTACAACAATGTTATTGCGACTACTCACTGTGCAACTTAACTGAATTTGTATGATTTATTTGTAAACTTTACAAATTCTGTTTTAGGGTAGGGCTCACAGAATGGCTTCGATACATCATAGCTAGCTTGCAACATATCTTATTATGTACTACACCTTACAGAAAATATAATGACAAATAAAATTGAAATGTCCTGTTTTTTCTGTGATAACAAGACCTTGTTTAAGAGCTACTAGTCTAAAGATAGATGATGTATTTTATTTTATTCTCTGATAGAAGCTGTCTTACAATCTATAAGAAAAATACAATTGAGAATCTATTAAGAATCACCTTCTTTGTGTTTGTTTGCTTTATAGTTTAAAATTACTTGCTGTGTTTGGTTTTGATTTTCCCTATTTGCAGAGAGCATTGTGTGGAATGAAAGAGTTCATATCTCTGTTTTGCTTTGGTTGTGAAAGACAGATAACAACAGCACAGCTAGGTATTTATTTAACAACATCTTTGTCATGCGTGGGTGAAAAAGTAAGAAATCCTCTCGCCTGATACTCAGCTTGGGAATCTAACTCTTACCAGAAGCGTTCAAAGAAATTCCAGTGAAAGCAGTAAACTCTTTATGCTGACTGAAAATCTGAATTTTGACTGGGTTCAACATTACTAAATCCTTTACAAAGTGGTTTTAAAAAAATTAGTTAATCTAAGTGTAACTTTAGTATTACATGTGTGTGTGTTTCAAGTTTTTGTTAAAATAGCAGCAAACAGCATTCTAGTAATTTTGTTTCTTGAACTGTTTATTTTTTCCAGGGGATTTGCTGTAGAAAGTGAAATGATCAATACCCCTTAACCAGTAACATGTTTGTAAATATATAATCCTATATAAAAACCAAGAGGATAATCCCTTACCTTTTTTTTTTCTGTTTTTTTGTTTGTTTGGGGTTTTTTTAGGTCTTAATTAAATTATGCCGTCTTACTGGTAATACCGAGACACCTGTGCTGCAGCTTGATATTGTAGGGTTAGGCACTGAACTTAAATTAAGAACATTTGACATGACTGCAAATGCTTTCCTTCGTGAAGTTTGTCTGCTGTGCCCAGAGTATATGGGTAAGTATTTATAGTCTGATCAAAAAATTATTCACAAATAACACTGTGAATTTGTCTTCAGAAAGCCTGTAGGGCTTTCTTTTGCCAACCAAGGAAGATTTGCTTCCTAAATTAAATGGGGGGGCTGGGAGGGAGGCAGAAGGAAAAGTAATTCAGGAGCTCATTATCTTAGTAATGCTTTGGTAAATACGTTCTAGTGCTGATGATTTTAGTAGAGACATTTACCTATTCTAGGTCCACAGAAGAGGTTTTGTGATTAATTAGTAATGACAGCTAGTAGCCTAGTTTGTAGTCTACAGATGATTCAAAGAGTTGTAGAGAACTTAGCAATATTTTTTCTTTAAAAAAATAATCTTTTTTATTCTTTTGGGTTTCTTAAGATGATAATGACAAGCCAGTTTACATAATTACTACTTTGGATAATATAGAAGATGATCTTCTCACTCTGGAGTACATAAAGGTGAGACAAGACAAACCTTGCTTTTGAATCATAAACATTACAGTATTATTGAGCAGTTGTTGAAGGTTTTTCCTTACTTGCCATTCCTTAAGACATTAAGTGTCATGTGCAAAGTCTGTCTGCTCCCTAAACAGATTAACTTGTACACCTTAAGTTGTAGTGGTTTTTGAAGTAAGTTCTCTCTAATCAAATTTGCAAACTTGTCCTGATCTGTTTGTTTTACATGCACTTTTGGTGGAATAGGCTGATATTAATGGACCAGAACTGAAAACTACCTATCAGAATGTTCTACAGAAAATAAAGGTATGATATATTTTTTTAACATAATTTTCTCATTATGGGAAGAGAGGCATATTGGATAAACACAATTTGTTATTTTAGGTGAACTTTTCATCTCTAGATGTTCATTTGCATACTGAAGCTCTGCTGAATGCTATGAACTATCTGAACAATCTTCTACCCAAACAAGAAACTAAAGTTGCAGAAGAACTGGTCCATGAAAAAATAGAGGAGAAGAAGGATGTTCTTAAGAAACTAAGTAAGTTTCTTTTATGCTTTCCCCCCCTCTCTTCACTTATTTAAACAAGGAAGAAAACAGACATATTTTCTGATTTTGTAAGCCTGTCAATGACTTCAAATGAGAAATTTTGTTTAGGGTATATTTACTTATCAACTTCACAACCTTTTTTAATTTCAGTGGTAATAAGAATGTTAGCCATCAGAGTACTATGGACTAGCAAGGGTAACCTGGGTGTAAGTCTGTAGGTGAGGAATAACTGTATAATTAATGAGGCAAAGTAGATACTGCAGCTGTTGACATTTCCTAAAGTAGAAATACTAAGCATATTTTTTTAAGATATGTGTTCACATTCACTTAATTATGATATACTGCACTGAATGGTAGCTTACTGGCAGTGATTATGTTCCTAATGATGTTCTCCCATATAATGAGAAAAGTATTTTTGTATTACAGCATTTATGTGGAAAAAGTATTTATAAAAAGTAAGGAAATAAAAAAACTTTATAGATTAGAAAATTTAGCATAAACGTGAAAACTTTTTTGATAAGTGTATTAAATATATCCTAGACACTTTTGTACTTTCCAAATAATAGCATAATTATCTTTGTTTCTCTAACTTCTCAGTGAAATTACTTTGTACACTACCTTTCTTCCCATCATCAAACTATTTTTCTTAGTTTATGTTTGTAACCTGCATATAGGTACTCATTTAGGAATTTATTAATGTGTGGACATTGACTGTAGATATTAGTACAAAAAATATACACTACTGCATTTCATAAACTCCAGGGCAGTTTTGGTTGCTAGTGATCTACTGATGTGCTGAATGGCTAAACTCTACCGGCACCAATTTTGTAGGAATAATTTTTTGGAATCACTGCTTTGAGGTTATGAACTGGCACATGAATTTGGATTTACCTTGAAGTGTAATAAATATGAAATCCTTGCATGGTGGAAGATGGCTTGAGCATTTTCAATCTTTTGTTATAAGACACTGGTAACAGCATTCATTAATATAAATTACTGTGCTTTTAGGGAGACATAAGTAGAATATGAGTTCCTGCAATTTGAGAGAAATCTGGTGAGCCACGTTATGTTTATCAAAGGTAGCTGGTACTCTGTAGGTATCTGGTTTCTCTCTGTGTATAAATTTAGGTTTCCTAGCTTTCCTTGGCCTGCAAAAGCATTAGCACTGCTGCATCCTGAAAGGGATGCAGGCCAGTCAGTTATCCAACAATATTGGTCTGAAGGAATTATTCTTATATAACCTTTATCTCTTCTCTTTCCATGTGCAGTTTTCTGACATGTTGGTCAAGACATACCTTTGCTGTGTATTCAAGGCACTGAGCATATGCAAAAAACAAACACACACGCACACACCCCCACCCCTCCGCCCCCTGCAAAAACCAACAAACTCATAAATTGTCTTTTTTTGGTTGGTGGGTTTGTTTTTTTTTTCCCCCTGAGATTAACTGAGACTTTTAATTGCCTTACAGTTATTTTATTACCTTATATTTGAGGAACATCAATCTCCTGTGAATAACTTGCTTGCTATGTAGTTTTATCATTCTCTGACCAAGAATTTGGCAGGTCTGATTTGTTATAGTGTTGTGCAAGAGGAAACAAACAGATCACCTCCGTTTTTTATCTTGTGTCTGGGAGCTACTTTGAAAGGAATGCTTCTATTAAATGCTCAGCATTACGCCATTGATGTTCATTTATGCTCTGAGAAGGACTTCTCTGAGATCTTAGTGATCATTGCTTCCTGTCAAACAATGAGGGTTCAGCTAGTTATTAAAACAAAAAAGAAAACACACACACACAAAAACTATGGTAGACAATGATTCTCAAGGTGATTCTAGTATTGCTGTGCATTACTGATGTCAGTATTTCCCTCCTGTGACTGACCTAGCTAACCTACTGGTACACTGATGAGATCTTTCTGAGGCTGCCTGCATGCACTGATGTTAGTTCTTACAAACATTTCGAGTTAAACTTCAGTACTAGTTTGGTATCTTTAAACTCCAAGGATCACATTAGCAACATTTGGTGAGATTTTTTTGAGAATGTGAATTTGTGCTGCCTTTACAAACATATTTCTGTTTTGGCAAAACAGAAATATGTTTCTAAGTCTAGTTTATACTCATATTCAGTCATTAATTCACAGTGTTGCTGAGGGTCGATGATTTTATCATGGGAGGTTGGTGAACGAGTAGCCTGATTATGTTCTTTTGAATAAGAACTTGAGACAGGAATGGTACCTGTATTAGGAAAAAAACATTCAAGCTCTTGGGTGAACAGCTCTTCTTGGGATTCAAGTATTTGTTTCCTGTATGTACTTAAATGAAATAAATTATGTTAATTTTTAAAGTGTTGTGAAAGGAAAGGTAATTCTTTTGTCTGGAGCCAAACAGGTTATTAAAATGAGAGAAAATAAGGTTTGTAGCTGCTTTTTTGAGGCAGGAGCGGGGGGCGGGTAGAGGAAGATGAAAGACAGTATTGCCTCAGGAATGATGAGAGATCAGTTGGGATGAGATGTGGGAAGACTATTAATATGTCACAAACCCATTGTCTTTCAGCTGATGATTTTTTATTATTCCATCAGATTGCTAAGAAGTTTAGTTCTTCAGCTCGTTCTTTGAAGGTGTTTTGTAGTTCTCCATTGCATAACAGAACTGACAAGTAAAAGGTGAAATAATTGCTCTGTGCAAAAAAAATAAAATCTTCCATTTAACTGTATTTTTTAAATTGTTTTTTTTTCTGTGTAAGATTGTTGTCAATCAGGGTGGTTGTTTGATTTCAGTTATACAGGATCATGCTTGGACATGAGATGAAACACCATTTGCCTACCTATGATAGTCTGTGAACTGAAAGGGTTCTGTTCTGTGGCTTACTGAGAGGTGTGGACAGAAGATTCAGCACTTCTCTAGCTTTGAACCATTTTGCTACGCAGGCAAACACTGAAGGGTTTGGTAACTTACAGAATTCTTGGAGGCAAAGGATTAAAATGAGACAATTTAGACTTTACACAGCTGAAAAGCTTGCATAGGTGATTCTCCTCCCTCCTGTACAACTGTGCAAACTAAACTTCGAGGGTAGTTATTGGTTAATTTACCATGGCTTGTTTTCTGTCAGTGACATGCAATAAAATCGTGACTGAAACTGATGTTTTTATGGAACCATAACTTGATTGTGAGGGTTGAGAAAACCTTAACATACTCACACACAATACTTAAAGGCAATATTTTATCTGAAAAATTAGGCTGTGGAAAAACAGATTGAATATTTATTATTTTTATTTTTGCTGCTTTTAGCTTTGTATATAGATTACCTATAAAAACTTACCACTTAGGACTCAGAGTCCCTGAATACAAGATATTATATGTAATTTTTATTATTTTGTATCTCCCGCAGCATCAAAAAAGTCGAAGTATGAAGACGTTATTGACCTCAATATCTGTGCAGATTTATCCTGTTTACGTATCTTTATTAGAGAGAAAAAACATAGAATAGCTGAAATTCACATTGAAGGTAGGAACAAAACTTTAATCACAAAGGCACAAAACTTTGTAACCGGAATAGTCCCTAAATTTTGTATATCTTTTTCTAAGGTCTGGATAGCCAAGTGATCATGAAGAAGGCAGCAACAGAAGTGACTGCAAAATTAAAGAACATCATTATTGTGGATTCCGATGAGACGGCATTGTATAAAAAGGTATGCATTTGCATGTATCATTGATTTCTGAGTGGAGTATAGATGCTAAATTAAACTTACTTTGCAGACTGTACTCTTTTAACTGTGATTTTTATTTTTTTTTAATAATTTTTAATGTATTTGCTGGGAGCATTATTCTCTATAGACTGATTTTACCCCCACAACTGGTGGTTGTTACGCTGACATTGATTTTTTGCAACTGTGATGCACAGCTGCTCTTCACATGCCTTATTTTGTTGACTTTAATGGAAAGAATTATTCAAGCTGAGATTCCAGCTGAATATTTTCAGCTATTTCAAGGATTTTTTTTCATTTATTGTTGAGAAATTTGAAGTAAAAATGTCTTAGAAGTGTGAGGTACTACATTTTATTTTGGAATTAAGTTTCTCCAGCATAAGTTTTTACAGTAGATACACTTTTTTATTTTTTTTTTTCTTCCTAAGGCTCTTTACATCACAGGAAAAGAAGTATTCAACTTTAGAATGATATCTTATGTGAATGCTACAGATGGCATTGCATATACAAATATGGATGTTGTTGACAATCGTATTTACCTGACTGTGGGATGTATTCAAGTAGTTTTTGTCAACAAGTTTGTTTCATCTATTTTGGTAAGTTAAATTTTCCAGATACGGTTCCTTAGCATTCGGATAACATTGTCAGAGCTAGAAAGGGATAAAGCGTCCCATATGGGGTGGTGGCCTATTGCATAAGAGCTCTTACATATTATTGTGAAAACTTCACTGGGATTGGTGGTTGGGTAATTGCTTTTTTCCCTCCCTATATTTGTTATAGTGGAGGGGGTGGCTAAGCAACAGTATTTGCTATTATTGTTAGACATTTTTTCCTTAAATGGCTTATGACACTTTTAAAGATACACACTGTTCATTGTTTCTAACACTGAAATATAAGTAATAAACAGTGAAAATTAATGCCTTTTCCTTAAATTCTGTGAAGTAAATCTTTTTTTTTTACTCTCCATATGAGTAAATAAAACCTAATTCATACAAGTCATGCTACAAGGTCATTGCTGTTACCATCTGATTTGCAAAATATTCAGTATGGAAATTTATATATATGCATACTTTATCATAATTTGGAGGGAGATTATCCTATTAAAGAATTCAGAAAAAGTGAGTAGCAAAAATTGTGTCTTAAGATGGTTTGCTGTTTGAAAACCTATGATTCTTAGTGGTTTTGAAGTTGTCTATTTCTTAATAAAATTCCCAAGATCTGTATTCTTTTCCTAGGCTTTTATAAATAACTTTCAAGCTGCCAAGGAAGCTCTTACTGAGGCAACTGTTCAAGCAGCAGAGAAAGCAGCTACAGGTGTAAAAGAGCTAGCGGAGCGTAGTTCCCGTTTGGCACTAGATATCAATATTAAAGCGCCTGTTGTGATAGTTCCACAGTCAGCAATGTCTGCGAATGTCCTGGTGGCTGATCTTGGTCTAATCACTGTGAAGAATCAATTCTTTATCGCTAAAACAAAAGCACGGTATAATCTCCCGCCTGTCATTGACTCTATGACCGTGAAATTGAGTGAACTAAAGTTGTACAGGTAATGTAATGTCAAGGTTTTTTTAAAATTCACGTAATACTTCCAGGATACTTAAATTGGAGAGCTTTGAAAAATTGTTATCAAAATAATTATTTAATGGTTGATGGTTGACATATACAGTATTATCTTGAAATATAACAGCAAATTAATAAAGACTTTGTAAAGGCAATTAAAATGTATGGTTTAGGAGAAACAGCAATCTACACATCTTTTAATAGAAGTGAATGTCTGTTTAGGAAATATTGTGCAGAATAATAGAATTATGCATCATTCACTGTTTTGGAACAGGTTATACCCATTTGTAAAGGGCTCTTTTGATGGAGTTTTTTAACTATACGTGACAGGAAAGATATCAAGTCAGATAGCTGTACGGGAGCGTTTAAAAATGGCCATTGGTGCAGGGGATTGGGAGGGGGAGAAGGAATGGAAGGAGATTTTCAAACAGTTTAAGAGCACTGAAGAAAGCTGGAGAGCAGGTAAGAGGTCCTAACTTCCAAGGAGTTAGTATGTTGTGTGCCTGATCTGTCTCCTCCTTGCCAAGAAAAGATGTCTAGTTGGTGGAGTAAGGCTTTAGCTAGAGGTACTAGGAGTAGTATGAAAGATGTTTTACAGTACTACTCAGAAAGATGAGGAAAAAGACAGTCTGTGTTTGTTAGAATGTGTAAGTGAAGTATGTCAAACTGGGAGTATTTTGTTTCTGTTTGCAGATCATGCTATGAGCAGGGTTCATTGCAAACTGAAGTACAGTTGCTGCAGCCACTCAATCTGGAAGTTGCTGTTGAACGAAACTTAGCTGCCACATGGTATAATGAAGTTCCTGACATTGAAATATCTGGTCGACTCAAGCCTATGAATGTAAGCCCTCATTTCTGAAAGCGGCTGTTAAAATATGTGTAGAAAATGGATTCATTTTTTCTGTCCGTAAAAGTCCAAGTTCCTTAGGGTATTGTTTGATTTCAAGACATATAGGTAGAGTGGATTTTATTGTTTCATAGGGAAAAAGGAAGTGAATAACTTTTTGTTCTAATCTAAGCTCTGATTTCATCTGTGATACTGCAGGCAGACTTTGTATTACTGTTGCTAGTTAGAAATAGATGTGCTGTTATAGCTGCCTTTACCTGTCAGTATCTTTCAAAGGATTGGAAAAAGTTGGGGTTTATTGGTTTGTTCATTAGCAGCGCAATCACCTGCTGAATTCATATCCAGGACAAGCCTGAGTATGAGTTAGTGCGTGTGCTCATTTAAATTTAACATAAAAAAAATATAAAGGTTACCAGTTGTATGAGGAAAACAAATTTGCCAAATTTTGAAATAGAACTAGTAACTGTTACGGTAAAGTACTTTGTGGCTAAATGTGGATGACAATTTTGGGCAACTAAATCAAACTATATAAGTACAACTTCTAACATTCAGTTTCTAAACTGTACCTCTGTGAAGAAAGTTTGTGGACAAAACCAAAATAATGTGTGAATTCTAGAAGTTACTTTAAAGGGGTTGTGCGGATTTGAGAAAAACGTTTTACTTGGTTCTTTAGTCTCCTAAACAGAGACTCAGATGAGATTAATTTGCTTTATCTGTTTATTTGTAAACTTAGGTTTTAGGTACCAAAAGTTTCATGAACTGAGTTGTTCTGAGTTTAATAACAATCTTTTTTAAAGCTAATTCTGAGTCAGGAGGATATTACCACAATATTGAGGACACTAAATGAAAATATAGGTGGAAGCTCTGGTGCATCAACATCTTTACCAGAACCAAAAGATACGACTAGCCATTGTAGTGATTTGCATAGTACTTCACAGCACTCTGCAGGTAATGTTTTCTAAAATTAAGTGTGGTCTAGCATTTTCAGTCAACTTATATTTCTGTTCGAATTACCTTTATGAAAGGATGCCAGATTCAGTTGTTTTTAACAGTATGCCTCATTGGCTTCAAAAGTCATTGTAGGGAGTTTTGTAGCATGATGTGTTTTAATGTAAGGACTGTCTTGTTCTACTGGCAGTAATGCAGTGAGCACCTAAAAGTCTGTCGGCTGGATTTGGTAACATCCCAAGTTTGGAAAGTTGCAATGTTACTCTTTTGCCTATGTGTGCCGGTTGTGTTGCTGTTCAGTTTTAGATCTGTTTGTCTTGTCATAATGATGGCATCCCTAAAAGTCATTCCTATTCAGTAGGCATCATTGCTTGTAAACTGTTCAGCACACACTAAAAAAAAAAGCCAATGAGGTTAAGAAAAAAATCTTTTGTTGAACTCTTCTTTTAAATGTGAAAAATAGCAAAAACGTGGCAAGATGAATAAATGAGCATGAAAGTAAACTTGTGTTCTTTGTAACTTTTTTACACACAGTACTATATAACGTTAAGGGAAGTTGTACTTTTGTGTTTTAGAGATGGTAAAAATTGCATGTAGAATATATAAGCAGAGCATTTTATTTTCTCAAACATTGTGTGATTTTGCCAAAAGTAATTACAGAGAGCATGATAAGCACATCCTAAGTGTGGATGGATTTACACGTTGGAGGAAAAGGGAAGTTGTCTTTATAGTCATTAGTGATGATGTTGGTTTTGGGGTTGTGGGGTGTTTTTGCAGTCAGGTTATTTTCTTTACTATTAAGTGTTTTTCTAATTTCTGAAAGGTGTAACTGTTGTGACATCAGCTGTGGTGGAACTGCATTCACCTATGAAAATAAAAACAACACTAAAACTGGACTTCAGATTTGACTCTCTGACTTTAGTATTGTATAGTCCAAATTCAAAACAGGTAAATATAATTTTGATTACAATGAGAAACAGCTTTAAAGATGCCTAGAGTCCAGGAAATTCTGAACAGGAATAGTTTAATTTATGAGCAGAGAAGGTGATTTCTAGCTATAGTAATAAGCATGATAGAAATGATAAATAGCTATTTTTAATTGTCACATGGCAGATATTGCAGGAAAGAGAATAACCAGTGGTAGCATATAATACATGGCATCTTCTGTGATCTGACTAAAAATTTGCTGAAAACTTATCTTAGTTTAAAATACAGTTTGAGAAGAAAATGCAGAGGGATGCAACCTATTCTTTAGTTACACACACATGTGGATAAGCACATATATAAATAAAATTGTGGAGAGACAGTTTAGGTTTGTGTAACAGTATGAATGCATTTTTATTCTTCTTAGTTTAAATTTACAAAACTCGTCAGCAAATTTCTGACTAAAAGTTTGGTAATTTTTTATTGTAAACTTAGTCTTTTGTTTTAGATTTTGAACAATTTTCCAGTATCTGGCTAAACACTATGTAGCAATAAGAGACAAAACTTAGTTTCTTATTTGGTGTCTTTGTGTATATTATGTATTTTTAAGCAGTAAACAAACCAAAATTGTGTATGAGAATTCTACTTTCTTTTAAACATTGTTTCCACCTCACTCATGTATGCTTGCTTTAGCAAGCTGGTAGAAGGGTAAAGCTTTGGGTTTTTTCAGTTTTCTCTGTATGTTAGTGATTTTTGTTGTCTTTTGAATTACTAGTGAGTTTATTTAATATATTATTATTAGAAATCTTACCAGTTAGAATAAAAATGTATATCACACCTGTGTATTATTTCCATTACCTGTAAGCAGATCTACAGTCATATTTCATTTGATTTAAACAGGTTACAAATTTGGATCAGAGAGATGACCTTTTGAAGCTTGCAGAGTTTAAGTTAGTTTTGATGTCAGCTGCTGTCAAAATGTTATCAGATGGTTCAATGAATGCTTCAGTCAAGCTGGCAAATTGTACATTAGATGATAAAAGACAGTCAATCCAGAAGGCTACACCAAGGTCTGTATTTTAACATAAATTACTGTTTATTGGAGTTTGACAAAGAGATCCAAAAGTTTCCATTTCAGTATTCTGTTAAAACTGCAGTTGTTTTGGTGTAGATTCTTAAAGTACATGTTACTGTAGACTTGTGTCTTACTTGTCTTTTGTTCCACATGGTGTTAATAAGAGATCAATATAAATGCTAGAAACAAACTTTAGATATGAAATGAAACAAGCTTTAAATATGAAATTAATAAATGCATATAGAAACAAATTTCACTTTCAGCTTTGATAAACCACTGGCTAAGTAAGACTAAGATTTCTTTTTCATGAAGAGTAACAAATGTCAGTAAAGTATAATACTTTTGCTATGTAAATGAGAAACTGTGATGGTTTGACATATTAAAATTATGAACACCTTTAGTTGCCAATATGGGAGTCCAGTTAGTTTTGAAGTTTTATAGAATTTATATTAATGCTTTTATTAGTCATGTTTTAAAATTTTTGGTATTACTTTTGACATTCACCGTTGTTATGTATTGCAGATGGAGTGACAATCTTGAGTGTTTTTTGGTATGTGTGGCTGGTTTTTTATTGTCTCATTAAATGTCCCTTTAATGGTCTTTCAGAATGGTGGAAATGAAACATGGATTTGAAAAGAAAGTTATGGTGGATATAAGCTATAAACAGGGGAGAGATGGCACTGTTCTTGATGTGATTGTTCAAGAGATATACCTTTGTGCAAGCATGGAGTTCCTACTTACTGTTGCAGATATATTCCTGAAGGCTAATGCAGAAAGTGCTGCTGCACAGAGAAATCTCAAACAGTCATTACCTTTAAAGGAGCAAGGTATATACTGGAAATATTTAAAAATTTGTATTTAAATATACGTTTAATTTTGGTATTACAATACTACTTTAAAAATTATGACACTGCTTTTATACTATTTCCGGCGTTTGTGTGAATAGAAAAGCTTCTTTTAACCATTGATCTATCTTTCTTTGCATCATGGAAAGTAGTTCGTGTCTATTGATCTTTATTTCTAAATGAACCTTTGTCTTGCCAGACAAAGGAAATACCTAAAAATGTATGTCTACAATAAAATGGGAAGGGACAATTACAGCTAGCACTCTGAAGGTTTGTTTAGCTGTCTTTGCCGTCTCAACAAAGTTTATAAAGATGATTACTACTGTCATAATTTTCATCCTTCCTGAGAAAGGTGGAATTTATTATACTATGCTTAAATACTAATTCAGCGTGCCAGATATTCCTGCCTAGAAATGTTGTCATTTCACTTGTCCACTGATGAGTGTTTCTCCTTACATCAGGAAACAGGCTTTTAGCTTGAGTGCCCAATTTGGTCTTTCTAGTGCAGGACCCTATACCTGACATCAGGAATTAGTCCATTAGAACCTCAGAGTAGGAAATGGGTTATTTATGCTTCCAGGCCTCAGGTAGTTCTCATCAGGTCTGCAAAGAAAGTCTCTTTTCTTTTGTTTTTGTTTTCCTGTGCCCTTAATATCTTAGTTGTGTCCACCTCAGCTAGGCCTGCTGTGATTGATTAGTAGATGATCACAATCTAAACAAATCAGAAAGTCTTACATAAAAGTATATTGGTACTGCAAATGATTACATCAAGTACTATTAAATGCGTTATTGTTCTATGGAGAAATGTGTGTTTTGCTGCTCCAGAGAACAGAAAATGTGTCCAGCATTTTCATAAGACCCTATGATGTAGGTAGGTAGTGAAGCTGATATATTTGCTAGTATCAGAAGTAATAACAGTGGTGATACTGTTATCCTTTTCCTTTTGACAAAGAATATTTCTGGAATCTTTTGTTGTATCTGAAAGTAATTAGAGCTTTAATGGTTTCGTATTTCCAGTGAAGAGCCTAGAAATAAATCTGTTGCAGGGATCTATGGGTTTTCTGACACCAGTTATGCTAGAACTTAGCACTAAGTCTTTAAGACTTATCTGTAAGTTATGAGAGAGAGATTTCAAAAATGACAATGTTATCTTTGAACAATTAATCTAATTTAGTTTATATTTTTGAAGCACCTGTGCAGGCTGTATCTACAATGGAAATGAACATTGTTGTTAAAAATCCAGAGATTGTGTTTGTGGCCGATTTAACAAGAAGTGATGCTCCTGCATTGGTGGTTACAACACAGTGCGAGGTCTTCATTAAAAATAGCCCTGAAAGGTATAGCATGACAGCTGCTGTTAAAGAGATACAAATGAGAGCATGCCCATTTCTTCCAGAAAAAAGGAAGGGAAACATTACTACGGTAAGTTTGCAGACATCCAGTTTGTATTTAAAAGGTACTGTAGAACTTATACTACTAGAATGCAAGTTATTTCTGAAGCTTTCATTATTAGAATCTATATTACAGCCATATAAGTAAAATTTTGTGGCTGACATTTTGTTGATTATCTTCTGTTTTGTCTGATATGCCAAAAGCATCGTTTTGATCTGTGGCTTTTGAGGTTTACTTTGTATGACAAGCTAAAATTAAGAACCTAGAGGAGTAAAATAGTAATAATCTCTTATATCCTGTGTAAGCCAAATAAGTAGAATTTTACGAGTGTACACTATTTCAAGTGCAAGGTAGTAGATTTGGAATACTTTCAGTCTGAAACTTTGCATTAAATAGCTATGTAAGTGAATAACAAAAGGGTCACAGAGAGAATGGGAAGTATGTTATTATGAAATAGATTACATAAATTCATAAATTCCTTTGTATTAAGGTCCATAGATCCATTATATTAAAACTGCCTGTTTATGTTTTGGCAACAGAATCAGACTTGTTAGTTACTGTGCAGGTGGGAATGCATTCGTCCAGCTCCAGGGTCCCCAGTACAAGAAAGCCATGAATCTGTTGCAGTGAGTCCAGAGGAGGGCCACAAAGACAATCAGGGACCTGGAGCACCTCTCCTATGAGGACAGGCTGGGAGAGTTGGGATTGTTCAGCCTGGAGAAGAGAAGGCTCCAGGGAGACCTTATAGCAGCCTTCCAGTACCTGAAGGGGCCTACAGGAAAGATGGTGAGGGACTGTTACCAGGGAGTGTAGTGACAGGACAAGGGGTAATGGCTTTAAGCTGAAGGAGGGTCGATTTAGATTAGATACAAGGAAAAAATTCTTCCCTGTGAGGGTGGTGAGGCACTGCAACAGGTTGCCCAGAGAAGCTGTGGACGCCCCCTCCCTGGAAGTGTTCAAGGCCAGGTTGGATGGGGCTTTGGGCAACCTGGTCTAGTGGAGGGTGTCCCTGCCCATGGCAGGGGGGTTGGAACTAGATGGTCTTTAAGGTTCCTTCCAACCCAAACTATTCTATGATTCTGTGGCTCCTGGAGCTTCTTACAGTTTTTCTGCCTCTACAGCAGACTATACCTCAGTTGACTCTGTATTGATACTGCTGTGTCAGAGAAAAAAATCAGTTTGACAGTACATCCAACTATTATCTGTGTCCTCAGAGCACAGATGAATTTTGAAGAACAAGTCTCAGCTGTGCGTTAATGCCTGCTTATTTTATGGAGCTACATAGGAAAGACGAAAGGTATAAGCGTAAAGGACTAGGACTTCCACTTCATCTCCTTATTTGATACTTTCATAGCAGCTCAGTTTACTGCTTTGGTAGACACAGTTTTTGATTTCATTAATCTGTTAACAATTTTGTCGTTGAGAAAGTGACGCACTGATAGCCACAGCATAGTGCAACGTTGGTTGACTTCCATTTCCGTAGCCAGCGAACATTGAGAAAGTGATGCACTGATAGCCACAGCATAGTGCAACATTGGTTGACTTCCATTTCCGTAGCCAGCGAATGTGGCACAAATGTGACTAGCTTTGTAGAAAACAATTAGAAGGCTTCACACCAAGCTTTGCTTCTTACAGGAATGTCTTCTGCCAGAGTATCTTATCTCAGACTGTAGAAACAGAGAAGACGACCTGTATCTGGCAGGATGCTTGTGCTATAAAGAGGGAAGAAACTTCAGAGCACCTTAGTTTTGATGCTTGAAACAGTATGTTTTTTGAAAGATGTTCTCTGCAGGTAGCAACATAATCGCCCCTTTTGAAAACATGTACCAAAGGAAATCTCTGAACCCAGGTTTTCTGTAAACAATACGATTTCAGTCTGGGAAAACAGAGAAATAGAGATTCAGATGACATTCTATTGCCACCTTTAGACAAGAAAGAAAATGTATGATATGAGGTTATATGAAGATTAAAAGATTTCTGAAAGCTGATAATGATGTGAAAATTTTATATTGCCTAAACTTTGGGGACACTAGTGATGGATGTATTCATCCTCTTGATGAATAGATTTCCCCAGATACCCAGCAAACTAGCATCTGCATTTAGAGTAGCACAAGATGAGGTTCTTTCTGTGCATTTCTCACATATACCTTAGTCTAAAGAAGAACATGTTATTTTTCATTCCTGGATGTAACACAGAAGAAGAAAAAAATAATTGAGCAGCATAAAATAAAATAATAATATGGACAAAAAATTCTACTGGATCAAACTCACTTGGGAAAAGTGTGGTAAAACTGATTCAGGGTATTTCTATGCCCCCAGCATCTGATTCAGGTATGGGCAGAGGTGTCAGGAAGTTTGGTGGTTTGAAGGTACTGGTTTTGAAAGACTTACTTTCTCAGGAAGGGACTGGACAGCAGTTTTTCCTGCCAATGTACTATTGGTACTAACTACCTCTGAGTGCTTTATTAATCACATAGCTCTATGATTTTGCGTATAGCGTACGTTAGATTTGGTTTTGGGAAACTTTGGCAAGTGTGAGTATGCAAGAACTGATTGTAAAGTAAAACTGGAACTGAGTGATTGTGATTCAAACAGTGATATTTTTATTCAGGAAAACTGTAACTGTTATTACTGTGTTGCCCCTAACTGAAAAGTCTGGTGCTCCTCAAAAGTCACAGGCATGAAGGTGTGGTGTATTTGAAGACATCTGCAGTCTTTACCTAAAAAATGGAGTTACTGAAGTGTAATGCATTTTACTGTGGCTGACATTTGAATCTTTAATGATTGCGAATGGCTGAGTTGATGCTTCTGATATTTTTTTTTTTCTTTACGTTCGAGCATGTTATTAGTATTCAAATTACTCTTAATTTTGAAGAACCAAATAATGGTAAATTTTCCTTTTGGTACTTTTGATGTGTAGTATTTCAAAGTGTATGATTTTTAATTTTTTTTTTCTCTATTTAACTTGTGTTTTTACTCTTTTGTATAGGTATTACAGCCTTGTGACTTCTTCTTTGAAATGAAACAGTCAGGTACTAATCCACAGACAGCTGATCTAACGATTAAATCTCTAACAATAAAAGTAAGTAGACTTTTCTTGTGTTTTTAGTTCTTTACTGTTTCCTGCTCAGAAGGCTTTGAAGTTGCTTATGGAATATGTTTCTTAAAAAAATTAAATCAGGAATGACTGAAGTGGGGAATTGTTTCTGTTCCTCATCAATTCACCTATCTGTTTAGCATGTGAAAACAAACAAAACGGAAAATTAACAATTGTGTTGCAATGCCCTGGGTTTAGAATCTGTGTTTATAAAATGACCTGATGCACAGACGTAAGTTTTGAAGTGTTCACATGGAGCATTGGACGATGTAGTTTAGGAAGCTCCCATCTGGAAGACTGGCAGGCGTTGAAAGTCTGAGTAGGTTGAACTGTAGTTGGTATAAAGGAATAGTTTTCAAATGTAAGAGTCCTGTAGAGAATAGAAGTGTTTTGCTAGTGTAACTTATTCATTATAATTTTGTGTCTGAAAGTAGCTGACTTGTTTCCTGTACTAGCTTCTGATTTCCAGTTATTCCAACTTCCTGTTTGTAGGTTTCACCAATAATCATTAACACAGTAATTACTATTACATCAGCCCTTTATCAAACTGCAGAAACAACAGAAGAAGAAATTAGTCAAATTCCTCCAGACTTGTGGAATAAGAAAGATATAAAAAATCTAAAAATGTGGTTTCTTGAAGAGTCAAGTGAAAATGAAGATACAAATCCAACTGCTGAACTGGTTCCCACAGGAGAGTCACTGAAAATGAGTATAGAATCTGTTTTTCTAACACTTGAAGCTGGGGTTGGGCACCGAACTGTACCAATGCTTTTAGCCAAGTCCTCATTTCTTGGAGAAGTCAAAAACTGGAGTACTCTAATCAACCTACGTTCTCATCTTGAGCTAGAGGTGAGGAACCCTACATAAGAAGGAAAAGTTGTCTTAAGATACTAAACCTGCTTTTTTTATTTAGACAATAAAAATAATCCATATAGTTGATGACTAAACTTCTGCATTTAAGTGTTGTAGGAGCAGGATGGGAATGAGGTGTTAAGGTAGTTAAAATGAAAATCTAATGCATTAGATGTAATATGTTAATGGCAGTAATTAGTGTTATACAATCTCACATTCACACTCTGTACAAGTTCCCAATGGCCTGTTGGACCAATACCAAATTTTGGAGAAGCAGCTGGCTAAAACTCTTTGACAATCTTAAGTTAAGATTACAGTAGAATATATTCATGTGTCATTTGTATAAAATACTATGTGGTACCAGTATTGTACATAAAACATCCAGACTGGCTCATATTTATGAATAAGTGACATAAAATTCAGTGGTTATTGTAGGTAGATTTTTCCTTATTTATTAGACTTCCAGTGCCTATAGTTTAAGCAGAAATTATATTTTAAGTGACACACTTTATACCATTTATGTGGAAGTGGGTCTTTGCAGTAGAGACTTAGCTGCCTCATTTATTTGCGTAATGCATTTGCTTCATCTTATGGTGGGACCTGAAAGTGCAATCTGATTATAAATGTTTTGTATTACCAAAGTAATTAATATACTTGTAAATCAGAATTTTAAGTCTTTTAAAATCTGTAGAGCTTTCATTGACTTAACAATTGTATGTAATTTCCTAATTGACTTCTGCATTTCAATAGGTACACTATTTTAACGAGATGTTTGGGGTGTGGGAACCTTTGCTTGAACCACTAGAAGTTGAGAAGAGTGATTTATTCAAACCATGGATTCTTGAAATCAAGGTATGTTTTCCAAAGCTGAACTCAAATCTTCCATTTCAACACCTTAGAAAAAACAAATGCTCTGCACCTTTCATTGCTGAGACTAATCTAACAACTTTGTTCCTTCTTCTTGGTTACTGAGACTTTTTTTCCTGATTAGTGAATGAAACCAGCTCTTGCTCAAGTGAAGATCCAGACTCACAGATCTTTTAAGTAATACTGTCTTTCAGGTGGCAAGAAGATTTGATTCCAGTTCCACTGGATAATCACAATGGCTTTATATCAGTTTCTCTGAAGTTAGATCATACACTAGTGATGCATTCAGTGATTTTGGAAAGATAGAAGACCACTCATCTCATTCCACAGTAGTATCTGTAGCAGAAACATATTGGAAAAACTGATACCTGTTATTGACTAGAACAAAGTGCACTGTGGGAATAGTGCTCCTACCGCTTCAGTTCTGTCTTTCATAAAGAAATAGTCTAGATTCTGGTCTCAAAGTAGATAAGCATTTATCTAAGGGAGGGAGATACTTTTTTTTTTTTTACCCCTCTCCTTCTGTCTTAAGTGATTATTGCATTGTTTTATGATTTTTTCAAAAGTTTTCAAGTATTTGTAGCCTGAGAGGTTACTCAGTATGGAAAAACTGTCCTTTTCCTAGGACTGTCATTATCAAACAACTTTCTACCATAATGACCTCAGAAGGGTAAAGATTATGGTCTGAAATATAGCAATTAAGAAATTAGTATTAAAAATATTCCTGAGAATTTTCCAGAAAGATGTGACACCTAATGCAAGAGAAAGGTAGAAGATAGTGAGTCAAACCTCATGCCTTCTTGCCCGGATTTGAAATATAACATTTGGAAATTTCCACAAATACTGAAGGCCAGGAGAATGTATTCCATGTGATTTTTATTTTTCTCCTTGAAACAAATGAAAACATACAAAATAAGTATTTGATTTGGAAACATACAAAGACTAAATTTTGGGTTACTGTTTTAAGAATATGAAGTCAATTATGTATAATAGATTTCACACAGTGTTATTAGATATGTTAAGATGAATGCTTTCACACAGCATTTACTGGACATGTTAGTAGTATATATATTCCTTATTTTTGAATAATCATAAATTTAGCTACAGTTACTGGAATTTCATTGACTTTGAAATATATTTTTTGCCTCTTGTTTTCTTTATTCTCTCCCTCTTTTTATTTGAGAATAAAAGCATGCACAAAAAAAGGAAAAACATGGCAGTACATAGAAATAGGAAAGGGAGAGAAAAAGAGTCTTGAGGTGGAACTTGCTTCTACAGAAGGAGTGGTCAGATAAGAATTCTTTAAAAATCTCCTTTCAGATGAAGAAGAAGGCTAAAAAGGCATTGGTTGAATCAGATGCAGAAGAAGAAAACTACAAAGTTCCAGAATATAAAACAGTAATAAATGTTTCCTCAAAAGACCAGCTGAACATTACTCTATCCAAATGTGGGCTACAAATGTTAAGTAACTTGGGCACGGTAAGAAAGATTACTTAACTAAGCAGTGTCAGAATTATTAAATGAATATTTGCATAGATCATCTTGATGAAGTGTTATTCAGTATATTTATGTGTTGTATCTATACTTTGCTTTCTAGGCATTTGCTGAAGCAGCTAGTCAAACTTCAGACATCTTCAAAAAAGACCGAGCACCATTTGTAATAATAAATTCTTTAGGACTTCCCATCACTGTCTTGCCTAGTGATTCCTTTAGTGTCCTTAATGTTGAATTTGGAGAAAAAAAATTTCATTTAAGAGATGGAGAGAATTTAAATATGGAATTTGTCAGAACTAAAAATGAGAGTGACCAGTTCACAGCAATGACAACTCTGAGTAGCAAGAGGTTTTACATTCAGATATGTAAGTTCCAAAGTTCATACATCTTCTGGTTTCGTAAATACTGCATGATGCACAATACTGCATCTTGTACAGGTCAATAGGTATTGGAGGACTACATAACATGAAAGGAGTGCTTCTTTGGATTCTAGATGTGTGGCAGTATTTGAAATCCTGCTTTAGTTTTTGCAGCTAAAAGTTACATGTATCATGATTGTTAAATTTTTTTTAACATAAGTTTTCTGCTATGATAAATTATTTAGGTAACTGATCTTTGCTTCATAATTGTACTGCTATCAAGTATTTTTGGTTTTATATGCATGTTAATGCAGAATTAAGCTGCCAAAAATAATTTTTTTTGGGGGGGTAGAATTCTGAGGCCTGTTTATATGTATGTTCACAGAAAAAGTAACTTTTAAGGGGGGTGTTTTTAAGAAAATATTGTTTTCACTAATTTAAAGCACACTTAAAAGTAAAATTTAGCTATTTTTAATTATATATGTGTTAACAATTTAAGTTGATTTATTGTAACAGTTGACATAACTGATTTTTCAAACTGGTCTTGACCATGTGATTTATTAGTTGAATTGTTTTCACAATATATATGAGCTGTACCTTGTTAATAAGCCATTACATCTTGTAAACATTTACCTTTAGGCACTAATTTTATTTGCAGTGGCAAAACCCACTTAAATATTTGAGCAATGGACTCATTTACTCTTCGTACTGTGGCAAAAAAAGAATCTTTGCTGTTTCTTTAGTAACACTGCAAGATTGGCATGTTAAAAGTGCTGATTGTACTTTTTCATCTGCTTTAAATTGTTTTTAATAGATTGAATGATACAGAAAATTCTATTGAATGCACATTTCTGCCTTTCAAATGTATCTTTATGCTCCTTTTGAGTCTTTAATTTCTCATCTTGTAAATTCTAGATCCTCATAACCATTCCACTGTGGAAAAGATTCCATTGACAAAAGTGGGTCGATGTATTTACAGAGTGAGACATGAGGAATCCGGTGTTGAAAGGTCCATTGTCTGCCAAATTGATACTGTTGAAGGAAGCAAGATGATAACTATACGTTCTCCTGTTCAGGTTGTTATATTTCCATATGTTATAATTTCATTATTTTAATTTTTTATGAATGAAAATTACCTTTAAGTAAGCATTTAAAAATTTTAAAAACTTCTCTGAACAATTAATATAACTTTGCTGTTGTATATTATATGGAAGAGATATATAGGTATTATATATAAGGTATTATATAGAAGAGATTTTAAAGAATAAAAAGTTCTTTCAAAATGACAAAATTTTGGGTGGAATGGGTCGTGGAAATGGACCAGATTTTAGATCAGGATAATTCATCAGTAATGTTTTCTAATACTAGCCCTAATTTCAGTCATGTTGAACTATTTGCTATGTGTGAAGTGATCAAACCTCTTAATCATACCTTTCTTCCGCAAGGTTATCTTTTGAAGAGATTATTTCTTTTTCTTCATCCTATACCATTGATACATGAATTTCAAATCTAGTACCAAGTCAGCTTAAAAGTGAGCCCTTTGAGCATATATCTTGTTTAATTGAATAATATTTTTAATAGATGTTATATAGTTTACAAGTACAGGGATGGTCCAGAAATTAGTGTTCTGTAGTGATAGTGTCCCTGTTACATTTCAGTTGCTGCTTTTGCCCAGAGTTGTTTATGACTTGGTTAATAACCAGATTTACTGTTTTATTCTTCCCTAAATTAATTTTTTTCACAGACCTAATAATGCCATTAAATTAACCCTGAAATAAAAAAAGTAATGTTTGCAATGAACAGGAGAATGATATACCTCTCAAATTATATTGGGCATTGATGGTTTAACCTTAAATAAATATTTGACTTTTCTTGTGTTTTTTGCCGTATGGATTTTGACCCACACACCCTTGTAGCTGCTATATTTTTAGGAGAAAGCTCTTATATAGTTCAGATTTACTTGTCTTTGGTTTTACAGGTCTTTGTGTTTCTCCTTGAAAAGAATTTGACAGCTAATATATTGATTCCATAATTATAATATATCATCAAACTGCACAACCAAATAGTTTCGGGAGATTTGCTGGTATAAGAGACAATTCTTTTGAAATATGTGACTTTGAATGGTAAATGGGAAAAATGAACAATGAGAGAGTTCTCATTCTGTGCTCTGTTAGGCTCAAAATACTTTATCTTTCCAGTTTTTCCTAATGCATGTGGCTGGATTTTTATTTCACATAGATAAGGAATCATTTTTCAATCCCATTAAATATTTTTGAGGAAGGAAGATGTTTAGGGACTGCTTCACCAGAAAATGAATTCAACATACCATTGTCCTCTTACAGGTACTTTATTGCATTGTTCTTTTATCGTGGGATATGTTTATCATTGTTGGTTATTGTATCCATATAACTATGCAAAAAAAAATTTGCTTCCTTTTGCTCCCTAATACTGTAATTCATACTGTACTATCATTGTTGGGTAGGATCTTTTCAAAGCATCTGGTCTGAGTTAAACAAGATACTATTTAATTCTTGAGTTGGAAGTCTTTTGAAATTCATTTTACCAAACTTAAATCAGCTAAGTTACTTTAAGAATTTGACCCCAGGTGCTTCTGGAACAGTGATTGTTATCCACACAGTACAGATTTTTTTTTTTTTTTGTAGTGAAGTGAATCTAGCGATATATTACAGCTTTTTTTTTTTTTTAATAGGCTTCTTTTGATTTTTGTGATTCTGAAGTAAAAAAATTCAAAGTATCTCACAGGTGTAGAAAAAAGACTTGTCAATCTTAGAAAGACTTGGCTTCTAGCATAGCTGTCTATTAGCACCTTCAGGCTAATACCTACTTAAAACTGCAGTAAGTTTGTACAATTTAGCTGAACTTTTACCAATTTTTAGACAGATAAGTTTGCTTTGCTTGTTTTTTATGATTACAGATAATTTTTCCTTCTGTTTTTCCCCAAATCTTCTCCCCATTTTTTTTTTTTAGGATGACAGCTGTGTATCTTTTTGTTAAATAAGTTACACTTTACTGTAGATAATGTAAGTTCATTAATATTTCTAACTATCTGTATTTTATTTAATAAGGTTTAGTGACATTCTGATTTGTTGCACAGACTTATGGGTGAGTTCCACTAGGCAATCAGGAAATGTTTACTAACAAAACTCTTCAGTCAAGGAGCAGCTGATTGGATTAAAGCAGTTGCCTTACAAAAGCCATGTGTATAAATAACCCATAAACTTGATGCTCTATGTGACTGTAAAGAAGCACACTTTCTGCAGATCTGTCATCTGCGGTGAATTGTTTATCCAGACCTTTTGCTTGGAACAGGAATATTGCGGTGCTTGTAAGGGAATTCAGCAGCCTCTTCATAAGAATCTCCACCAGTCCCTTCTTTGCAAGGGAAGTATGTGGAGGTATGGAACAAAAAAACCCAACTGGTACAATTCCATGAACTTTTGGGATCCAGACCACCTGTTGCTTCCTCCTTTAAGCAAGATAAAGGCAGGCAATGAATTACTGTCAGAAATCTTCTAAAATCCAAATAGTACTAGTGTTGTATGGTACTTTTGTAATTGAAAAATTCAATCTCATATTGAGTGTTTAAATAACGTTTTCATTTACAGATCCGTACTGAGTCTGCAACCGCTACCCAATGAAAATGGAGTGGATGGAGAATATGATATGTGTGAAGGAATTACATTTGATGAAATTATGAAAAACGTTGACAGTTTATTACAAAGGAAATGCCAGTCTGTGAGGTCAACTAACCATTCACTTATCATCAATATTGTTCCTGTAAAAGACACATTAACATCTTCATTATGTGCAGAAGATCAATGGGATTTTCCATATGTTGTTCATTTATGGCCCTCTGTTCTTCTCCGCAATCTCCTTCCTTATCAAATAACTTACTCTGTTGAGGTAATTCTTGAATGTTTAATTTTTTTTGTGTGTGTTTTCCACCTATGATATGAAAGCTGACCAGCTGGTTGAAATATGTTTATAAATGGATATTAAAAGAAAGGACTTCTGCTGGAGTATTTGTGCAGCAAGTTTACACATCTTGTAAGTGCAAGTCTCTGTCCACAAAATGAAACAGTACCAGAATGTGAAAAGTGATGCTATTAGTCATTAGTAGTAGGTCACACTTTAGATACATAGGCAAAGTAAAACTCGCACTATACAAGTTAGCCCTGTAAGATGGTCACTTTCTGTTAAGGGCAGCTTGAGCCTAATTAAAAGTGTACTTTTTCCTGTGAAGTATGACTGCCTGAAATGACATAAGTGGGTCAGCCTACAGTAGCATTTTATGTGCTGTCACTGTCTCTGAGTTTTAGCAGTAGCATGCTTTTAACGAATTCTCACAGCCCTGCCTTTTTGCCATGTTTTGATTTGAATTGCAGTCTAGTACCAGACTTTGTATTCTTTTCAGATGCAATTCTAAATTATTAGGTGCATTTTGACTGTTAATAGGCATTCATTCCAGCACCAGATGAGAGCCCATCTTAAGTAAAACACCTAAAACATATATGGTGTTGATACTGGTTCATTAGCACTAAATGTTGCATTCTATGGATCTGCTATGGTTGTGATCCACTGCTTACTGATGTAGACTTACAATAATAGAAATATAGATGGGAGACACTGAAACATTTTTTTTTCAGATGGTGTTAGTATTTAGTATTTGCACTCGATTAGTAGAATTTAATAATAAAATTTTGTCACAAATGCACAATTACTAGAGCTAGAGACCGTGGCCTCAAGCAAATGTATGGAAGTAACAGACTCTTTTCTGTGTTTCTCTTACAAATTTAAATTTAGTGAAAGAACTACTGAGTTGAGGAAATATGTCATTTAAACATGTTTGTTTATTTGAATTTGGTAACAGATGTTTTTCTTTTTTGTGTGTGTTAGATATTGATGACCATGCATAGGTTTTTTTTCTGTAAAATGTTGTATTAAGGTAGATGTTTAAGAATGTAACACAGTTAAATAGCATAGTAAGCACTTTAAATTTTGGCCTAAATAACCTGTATCCTAATTTTCAAAGCTAGCTAGGAAATAAAAGTTGATATGAATTCTGAATGTGACCCATGTAAATGTACACTCTTTGTTTTTGTTTTTTTTTTCTAAAGGGAAATGGGAACAAATATGACACTCTACAAGAAGGGTGTTCAGCTCAGATTCATAATGCAGTCTTGGATCAAACAAAACTAGATTTACAGTTGCTTAACTATCTTGATCAAAACTGGAAAAGTGAATACCATATAAAAAGCAATCTACCAGACATCAGCTTCACAACGTTTTACTGTATCACAGAGTTGGATAAGACTGAACTGGATATTGCTGTCCACGTGACCTATACAACTGGGCAGATGGTTGTAGCAATTCACAGTCCATACTGGATGGTAAATAAAACCGGTCGAATGTTGCAGTACAAAGCTGATGGTATTCACCGCAAGCATCCTCCAGATTACAAAAAGCCACTCCTTTTTTCTTTCCAGCCCAAAAACTTCCTCCAAAATAACAAGGTATTATATTATAACCTGACAGCTCTGTACTCCCTTGTGTTGTATGAAAGCATTTTTACACTTTGAGAGTTATGTACGCCATGCTGTGCTCTGTAAAGGGCATGAAACCTACAATAGCTCTGTCTAAAGACAGAATACATTAAGTAAGTGTTGTCAGATACACTTGAGATGAGAAATTGACATTATCAAAGATATTGTTAAGAAAGAGATTCTCATCTTTGAAACAAGTAAAATTTACAGAGAAGTAATTCCTAAATAAAAGGATTTCCTTTGTTTAATTTAAACTGCATCAATAAAGATGTTTATTCTAAATAAGACTTAGAATTTGTGTAAGAAATCTAAAGCTGTGGTACTTGAATGCTACTTGAAAAGTGAATGCTTGCAGTGGTTGTTGGTAGATTGGGTCTTAGTTGGTAGTAAGCTAAGGTTCAGATGCAGTTTACCATTTGAGTCTGCTATGTGAGTTTTTTACTGCTGAATATTACTGATGGATGAATGATACGAGAGAAATTGCAAGAGTGTTGATTTGCCTTTGAGATTTTAATTGTGATAAGTTTTGGAAAGGATCCTTATGTGGTTGCTGCCTCTGCAGTATCTTACACTTAGAATGCTTATTCCACTTTAACTTATAATTAAGGGTGGTAGAAAATACCTTTGAGAGACGATCCTGCAATTGTTATGATAGAAACATGTTTCTTTTATGTTTCTTTTTGATAGAAACACCAGTCTTTCCACTATCAACTTATGTTCATATATGTATGCATACTTTATGCATTATTTTAAATGTTGTCAGTGTCTGTAAATTGAAAATTAATTCGGAGTGCTTCTTCATAGGTGCAACTTATGGTAACTGACAGTGAACTGTCTGATCAGTTTTCACTGGACACTGTTGGAAGCCATGGGTCTGTGAAATGCAAGAGTCATAAAAAGGAATATCAAGTGAGTTAAATTTATCTTTCAGATTCATTAATTTTGGGACACATAAATGAGGTAAGAAAAGAACAGCATACTTCTAACAATGTCTTTCTATTCACAGGTCGGTGTCACCATAAACAACAGCAGTTTTAATATTACTAGAATTGTAACTTTCACTCCGTTTTTTATGATCTCAAATAGAAGCAAATACACTTTGGAAGTAGCTGAAGAAGGCAAGGAAAAGTGGATTCCTCTTGTTTTGCAACAGGTAAACTTATAATGGAATTTATTCACAATTGTTTCTCTAAGGAAAAAAAATCAGTTTGAACACTCGGTGATGGAAAATATGAACCATGCATAGTGTTCAATAACAATGTCTGAATATATCGTGCTTTTCCAATAAATTATCTGTGTCCACTGTTTCTCAGTGTTTCTTTAGGACATATTGTAAAGCTGGTTTACATTGTAATTGGAATGTTTTCTCTGTTACCTGCACCATAAATAGTAAAGAAGCCCTGTACTGTTACTGTATCATCTCTCTCTGCAGTGGCACTGAAACTTCTGTTCAGTTTTTGTGGTGGTATCTGATAGTGGTTTGACAGACCTGGTGCATGTCATGCCACTTTCATATAGGAAGAAAATCCCTCATGTGGGTCAGTTTAGATAGCTCCAAACTGTTCTTCTGGGACCAGTCTCAGTGCTTCTTTTTAGTGTTTAATGCATCATTTCTAGAGAGGGATCACTGGCCACTAGGCCAAGTGGTGTGGAAATGGCTTTTGGGTTTTTGTCTATGCTGCAGAGCTCTAGACTGTTGCAGGCTGTGTGTGCAGCTTGGCTGTTTGCACTGCAGTATCCCACAAATACATTTTGTATGTGTTTTGAGGCCATCATGCCTTCCTTCAGGACATGTAGGAGAAGCAACACCTGTTTAGAGTAGTGTTGGAGGTCTATGAAAGCTGAAAGTGGTCCATACTGCCTCGTGGAAGAGTGAAATCTCCCTTCCAATGAGTCTTGAAGAGAGCATATCCAAAACAGAGACAGAGCTTAGCCTAACAAATAATGCAGTTGGATGCCCACTTGCTTTTCTTTAGCATTGTAGATACTCCAAATGGCTACCAAAAATGCTTACAAAGTAAAATACCAAAGTTAAAAGAATATTTTAAGTCAGATACATGGCCAGATCTTTTTGTTATGTTTTTTGGCACCTTAACACTTAGGGTGCTCCTTAAGTGCACATTTTATCTTTCATGATTATGGAAAAGAAACACCATTAAACATCGTTATTTTGATTTATGAAATTGATACTACTTTGCTTGCTTTTTGTTGTCATTGTTCTGTTGTGATTTTTGTTAAGGGTACACAATAATGTTTAGATCTTTAAGTCAGTGCAGGTTCGCATAATGTTTATCATTATCTTCAAAAAAGTTTCTTTGCTTTTATTCAAGAATAGGCCATTTGCCATAAGCCTACACATTTGTTCTATTTCCTAATACTCTTATGCTCCTCTGAATCAAACTTTTGTTTGACTCTTACATAGGTTTTGGGTTACTTACATGCATGATTTCTCATCTAGGTTATTGAAAAAGCTCTGAAATGGCAAAGGTTCATGTGCAGTGGCATGGGCCACTTCATATGTAACTTCTTACTCTGAGAAAATCTAGTCAGATTTTATTAATTCTTGGTGTTTTGTGGTTTACATTTGATGCAGTGTTGTTCGTAGAATAAATTGAATTATGTTACAAGAACTTTTGAAATTTTCTGCAAAAACTATTCAAAGCTAATAGTTTTGAAAGTTCAAATACATTGCTACATGTATAATCTATGGTTTTCCTGTGTTGGCTGTTTTATTGATATGCTTACAGAATTTTCTAGCTTGTCGCACAGGTGTCATTGTTTCTCAGGTGTTTCATAATTGTATTGATTGATTTTGGTCTCCTTTCAGCTGTCAAGTATCCAAGGAAGACTTTAGACTTTAGGATTACTCCTAATGTCTTTTGAAAGATTAGATATGGCATTTCATCAAATGGAGTAGTAGAAGTTAACAGAGGAATCTGCATTCCCTCCTACGTCATTCCAAACTTCACTCCCAAAATTTCTTGCCTTTCCACATTGTGTCATTACTTTCCCTTTTGATAAGCAGTCCCTAAAAATCTGTGTCGTGACAAGTCTGCCAAGGTTGTTAATTTGTAACCCAGTTGCACAATCCAATATGTTTCTTATCTCTTCTAAATCTAGGTAGAGTCCAGTCACTATTGGTCTATCTTTGGGCATCCAGGACAGATTTCCACAAACAAATTCCCATCTGATCTGTTCCTGAGATACGAAACTCTGTTATCCAGCTAAACTAGATTTTTTTTTTTTTTTAATGAATGCCTATGATTTTTTTGATAACTTTTCAGTTTTCTCTTTTACATTAGGTTGATCTTCAAAAAAACAAGCTTGTTGAAATGTTAATTCCTTTCTCAACTTGCTCCCCTCTACCCTCCATTCTATTTTTTGTCATTTTAAGTTAAGCAGAGTCCTTCCTGCTACTTATCTTTTTTTATTCATTCTTCCTTCTTGGTGACAGATATCATGTCTTCTCAGGAAAAAAGTGATCCTTGTGTAGAACCCTTCTCCTCTCTTGGACATGTTTCCTGTCTGGAAAGTAGTCAAGCTATCAGAAACTTTAATTAACTATTTTTAGAAAAATCCGTTGTTCTTCAAAGGTTGTAATAGAAGTTGTTGGACAGTGATTAGTATGAAATGGCCTGCCAAGGACATTCCTTCGAGTTAGGTATAGTACAAGACAGTTGACTAACACACATTCTTAGAGAAAGAAAGAAAACATTACTGAAGACTGTGCAATAGAAAACTGCTAAATATGAATTAAAGATTCTATTATGGAATGGAGATTGATGTATAAATATAATACTTTTATAGTGAAGCACTTAGGAAGTGTGTGGCAAAACATTTGGAAACAGCATCATTTTGTGACACATTCTGTGGCTAAAGATTATTGGAAAAAATTATTTTTCAGATTGCTGCAGTTGATTTTGTAACTTCTTGTTTAACCAATCCTTTTTACTTATTGCGGTTTTGATTTCAAACTTTAATTTACTGATGATTTATTCTCCTTGAATTTCCTTTTGACTTCTCTTAATTCCCATGTTGACACTTACTTGCTGTATTTTATGGTGGTTTACAAAGCAATTTAAACTTCCCTTGTCTGTAGGATACATGTTGATGTAGGTAACACCTTCAGTCTTGCTGTTTAACTATATTTTTTTCCTTTGTCTTCCTGCTTCCTGTGGTGTGAGAAACAATGGGAAAGGGAACTTAGTGGCATGGTAAGTTGGTGAATTAGTTTTTCACCACTGAAGATTTAATTCTAGGATTCAGATGCAATTAAATATAAACATCTCATTTCTTAACCTATGTTGAAGAAAGATGTTCCTGAAGTTTTGGATGTTGCAGGTGAACAGGTGAAATACAGGAAAAAACCTAGTCTGTCTAGACAGACTTTGACTCTTGCTGCTTGAGAGTTAATCATGGCTTGTTCCCATGGCAGGACTCTTTTAACTAGTTGGAAACTTTTCATTAGTTACAATTAAAAGTTTTGTCTTCCCTGCCCCCTCGTCTTACCGATTTGGTGAATTATTGAAGAGAGATTATCTGTGGGATTTTTAAACCCAGAATGGCTGTGAAGTCAGTTGTGGATGTGAATAGCAGAATATGCTTTATGATTTAGCTGCCTAGTGCTTCATATTTTATTTATATATGTTTAATACCCACATATATATGTGTCTGTATATCTATTTTTTTATATATATATATTTA